ATGACTGCTCTTTTAGGACTTGTGCAGGTACTCCAGGGAGTAGACACATTTGTGTGTGTGTTGCCCCACTCACTCCTGAAGGTGTTGAATCACTCCTCGGAGGTGTTGTATGCCTTCCGGAAGCTGATCCAATGGACAGGCTGTCTAGCTGTATTCGGACTTTTTCCACATCAGCTGGCTGTATGTTGAGGGGCTGTCCTCCCACTGACTGTGACTCTACTTTGGGTTTCCGTTCTGAAGATGGCCAGTGTTCAGGTCTTGGTTGTAGAGACTGTTGTGGAGGGTGTCTTAGCTGATCAGGTGCTCCCACTGCTCTCGGAACGTCTCCACGGAGGTATTGCCCTACTGCTCTCGGAACATCTTCATGCTGATATGGTTCCATTTGCAATTCATTTGGATCTTGGATCCGAGGGTCAGGATCATCCTCCTCCAATGTATTTTGGTCTGGATAGTGAGCATTCTCTGGAATGAGTCCCTCCCACTGATCTGTGCTAGTGTCTGTGTTCCAGGGAGCAGTGTCGTCTTTTTGTACCTTTCCGGAATTATTGAATATGACATGCCAACTGGAAAACACAGTTCGTTTTTCAGTGTCTAGGAGTTTGTAGGCTTGCTTTCCATGTGTGTAGCCAATCATTATGGCTTTGCGTCCCTTGGAGTAAAACTTCCCTTGCCTTTTGTCTTTCGGAATCAAGGCATATGCTTGGCATCCGAAAGGGCAAAACAAAGTTGGATCAACTCTCCTTTTAAACAGTATTTTATATGGGGTCTTTCCATGGAGTCCTGATGCTGGGCTGCGTGTTGTGATATATGCAGCTGTTTGCATGGCATCTACCCAAAATGACTTTGGGAGCTTGGAATCATGGAGCATAGTGGTTGCTAATGTAGCCAATGTCTGATTCATGCATTCTGCAATGCCATTTTGTTCCGGAGTATCTGCAGCTGTAGTTTCTTGGATGACACCATCTCCTCGGAGTTGATTTTTTAATGCATTGCCAGTATATTCTCCTCCCCCATCACTCTGGAGGAATTCTGTGTACAGTGGAGTGAAGTTTTCTTCTCCGAAATGAGTCCAGAAGAATGTTTGGACATCTTCTTTCCATTGCTTGTATTGTTCCAGTGCTTCACTTTTATGTTTTAGGAAATATATCCATGGAAATTTGGAGAAATCATCTACGATGACAATCCAGTACCAAAAAACCTCCCTGGAAGTTGGTTTGATTTGTCCTCCAACATCTGTGTGCACAATTTGTATGGGGCGCTTGGCTCGGTTTCCTCCAGTGGACTTGAAAGGTAATTTCTTCATCTTTCCTAAAGCATAAGGTTCACAAAACTCTGGGGTTCCGGTAAGGGTGTCTATGTCCTGGAGCTGTCCTTTTGTAACCATTTGTTGCAAGCGGTCCATTCCAATGTGTCCCATTCTCCTATGCAATAAATTTACATCTACTGCTGCAAAAGCTGACTCCGGGTTGATTTTGGGTTTTACTTGGATGTGATAAAGTCCTCGCTTGTGTAACGCAGTGAGGATAAGTTCCTCCTTTTTCTGAACTTCACAAGTGTTTGACCCTGCTGGAAAAAGTGTTGATAACCCCGTTTTAGATAATTTGTGGACAGAGACGAGTGCTAAAGTGAAGTTTGGCACAAGTAAGACGTTTGACAGTGCAATATTGTAGTCCTTTTTGCCAACAGTTGCTTGTAGGATTACTGTTCCAATGCCAATGGCATTTATAGAGGATTCATCCCCAAAACTGATTGTCCTCGGAGGATGCGGAACATGGTATGTTCCTGGCTCAAACCAGGAGCGGTGAGGGACCATGTGGGATGTTGCTCTGGAGTCAATAATAATTGTTGTTTTGTGCAATATGACTCTGTTCCTCCTCGGAGTCAGATCCAGATGATTGCTCTGCCGTGTTTGCTTTTTCCTTCTCTTTTCCTTTATCCTTGTGTCTTTCCTTTCCCTTCTTGCTTTGACCTTTTCCAGCTGACTGAAGTGTTCAACACTCCGAGGTGTTGTGTGATTTGGCTTTGTGGAAGTCACACCACTTCTCCTTGGATTTGAGTGCTGATCCAGAACCTCCAGGGGCCTTCCCTGACTGTTGTGCAACTTTTGCAGTGATCCGGATCTCAACTGCATCAAAGGTAAGTTTATTTTCTTCAATCGTGTTGATGTTACAATAACACAATTTTTGGACCTTTTCTTTAATTTTCATTCTCCGCTTTAACCTTTTTACTATAGTTCACACTCCGTGCCATGCGGCACTTTCCTTTTCATTCTAAACTCCACCTTCTTGCGCAGCGCTGTTTTCATTCTTCTTTTAGACACAAACTCTCTCACGCAGTGGAGCTGGTCACACGGGCTGCACCCTCTGACATCATCAGCCACTGTTTTTATTAACTATACAGTACATAAGTATAAACACTCTGTATTAGTATAAATACCCCAATAGATCAAGGAGACTCCTCAGCGAGTCCTCCTGTTGTATACCAACAAACTCTCTGCAGCTTAAGGGGTAACCACTCCCTCATCACTACCTTTATAGTGTGTTCTTGTGTGCGCCAGAGTAACTAACTCTTGGTTGTAACATTAGGACTTGCTCTTCTACTCTCTTGCACGTTGTGCAAAAAGTTCCACTGGGCACCCGGACTCCAGGGTGAAGGAGATTTGGTTATTGTTTGGGAATATCCCGCATAGCAAATAGGTGCGCTCCTAGCGACGGCCTTGTAGTGTTTTGGGAGAAGAAACAAAACCTTTGATACGTGGCCCCCAGCGTTAAGGGGAGTACTATAGCTCAGCAGTTGGTGTGGAACCTCTGTTGATTAGATTTAGAAATACAAATTTTCCTCTTTGAATACCTCTGACCGGGCCGGGCACTTGCCTCTGCCACTCTGGAGAAGGGTTGACAGCTTAACAAGCGGACCACCCCCTGACAACTGTTCGGACCAGGGTTTATTACGAATACTTTTTATACAAATTTCAAATACTATAGTGTGGGTAATCGGAGATTGAGATCCGATACTCAGCTGGGAAGAGGTTGATCCGCAGATAGCAAGCGGGGACCCCCAGTTACCTTTTTTTTACATTACCAAAGAAAACAAGTCGACATGTCGCCGCAACCAGATATGAACACTTTGTTGCACAACATGTGTGCACAGATCTTGGCGTTAACTACGCAACTCGCCGAGCTACAGGCAAACCCCCCTGCAGCAACCCCCTCGGTAGAGAAAAAGTTCAATAAGAAAGTCGAAGTCGTTGCTGATCCTGGCGCCTTCGAGGAAGACAGAGCGCAATTTGCTGAATGGTGGATCAAATTCCTGATTTGGGTTAAGGCAAACTGGGACGCATTTGCCTATGACTTTGAGGTAGCCACTGTGGTGCTATCTCGACTAAAAGGACCTGTGGCGGGTCAATACGCCCAAGTTAGATTGCAGGAGTGCTACACCGCGGGAGTGTGGCCCACCTGGGACAATCTCAAAGTAGAGATCAAAAAATACTTCAAACCGCAAGCTGAGCGTGACTGGGCGCGTCAGCAAATCCGTTCCTTTAAACAAGGCAACATGAGGACAGATGATTTCGTAACCCGGTTCCTGGCCCTCTCCATCCAAGGGGGTCTTGGTAATGAACATGCAGTAGAGCTGCTGGAACGCAATGTGAACCCCCACATTGCAGAACAGCTTTATCTGCAGGATATGAGAATCTCTCTCAAGCAGCAGAGGAGGTTCAAAAAATAGGTAGGGCCATAGAGCTCTACAAAATGCACCAAGGTGGCAAGACCACCAAAAACAACCAATCCCAGAGGCGCCCTGGGTCATCAAACCACCATAATCACTCTCACGGGTTCAAGCCGTTCAGGCTGCAACCAGGGCAGGGAGCCCCTATGGATATTGGCGCGGTCCAGGGCGGACAGATGCGCAGATTCAAAGGGAACTGCTACAATTGCGGCCAAGAGGGACACATGTCCCGAGATTGCAGAAACGGGGTGCAGGCCGCCCAACAAAAAAATAATCAAGGGCACCAGGCACGCCAACTAGAAACTGAAAAACCGGACGATCGGCTCCAGACTCTGGCCGTTTGTTCGTACGATGTAATCCGGGCCTTCTTTTACAACCAGCAGGTCGCTGAGATGAAGGTTCAGGGCAAAGAGTTCGGAGCTTAGGTCACTTGGGTGCCTTCGCTCCTATAAACAATGAAGTAAACCACAATAAGGTGGCCCCTGCTCCGGGGTGATGCACGAGCAATAAAGGAAAGATGGGGATGGCTCCCCAATTTGTAAATAGATTTAAAAATTTGTTACCGGAAATATGTACTTGTATGAAAACTTGTAACTGTGATATTTATAATACTACCGCTGCACCAGTGTCTCCTTCAAAGTGTGGCCCCAGCGAGACAAACACTAGGGTGCTTGATTGTGGTAAAAATAAAATAGAAAAACATGTTTCTTTTGATACTTCCTCTTTTTTGGAGCCACCCTTTCCCGGAATCCCAAGGCATGTGTTGATGCGCACATATTTATTCCAAAAAGAGATCCGTTTAGATGTTGGTGTGGAGGGACGCAGAGAACGAGTCACCGCCGAAGCTACCCAACTAGGGAAGATTAATTTAATATTGGGCTGGACCTGGCTATTTAAACACAATCCTGAGATTGACTGGCAGACAGGGGTTGTCACATTGTCACGTTGCCCTCAGGAGTGTGTGAACTTGGGTAAACTGAATCACGTCCGTCACAATGAGTGTCTTGAAGAAATAAATGCTAGTCACATCTATGAGCTCAAATCTCTAGAAAAGATTGATGATGACAATGACGAGGTAAAACCTGAGGAAGAGGTTAAGAGGCTGGTACCTCCCGAGTACCATGACTTCTGGAAAGTCTTTTCAAAACATAAATCAGAGTGCTTCCCAGAGGCTAAGCCTTGGGACCATGCTATAGACTTGAAGGACACTTTCAAACCGAGGGACATATGATACCACTCTCTGCTCCAGAAAGAGATGAGGTTTCTAGCTTCATAGATGAGCAGCTTAGGAAGGGTTACATCAGACCTTCCAAAAGCCCTATGACGTCCCCAGTGTTCTTCATTCCCAAAAAGGATGGAAAGAAGCGTATGATTATGGACTATTGTTACATGAATGAGCACACGGTTAAAAATGTGTATCCGCTGCCTTTGATCAGTCAGCTAGTAGACAAATTGGCTGGTGCCAAGATCTTGACAAAGATGGATCTCAGATGGGGGTACAATAATGTACAAATCAAAGAAGCAGATGCTTGGAAGGCCGTGTTCACGTGCCACCGAGGATCCTTTGAACCCCTTGTTATGTTCTTTGGGTTGACCAACTCACCGGCAACCTTCCAGAGCATGATGAACGAGATTTTTGCGGATATGGAAAACTGTGTCGTCATTTACATTGACAATTTGTTGATATTTACGAAGTCGGATGATGAGGCTGAGCATGACAGGATTGTGCAAGAAGTCCTTCGACGCTTACAGGAACGGGACTTATTCGTCAAACCCAAAAAATGTAATTTTAAGGTGAAGGAAGTAGACTTCCTTGGTATGATCATAGGCCAGAATGGAATCAGGATGGATCCTGAGAAAGTTCAAGCTATATTGGACTGGCCAGAACCTACTCACGTCAAAGGAGTTAGGGCCTTCCTTGGCTTAGGAAATTTCTACCGAAGGTTTATTGAAAACTTCGCAAAAATCACGAGACCGTTGAACAATCTCACTAAAAAAGACATTGTTTGGCACTGGGGCGCCAAAGAACAAGAAGCTTTTGATAAGCTTAAGCAGGTGTTTAGGACAGCGCCCATATTAGCATTTCCAGAATTAGACAAAGAGTTCCAGTTGGAAACCGACTCTTCTGATTTTGCTACTGGGGCTGTTCTATCCATTAAATGCCCTGATGATCTTTGGAGGCCTTGTGCCTATTTATCACATAGTTTGTTGCCTACGGAGCGCAACTATCAAATTTACGACAAAGAGATGCTGGCCATCATTAGAGCCTTAGAGCACTGGCGACACTACTTAGAAGGTGCTAGACACCAATTTGAAATTTGGACCGATCATAAGAATCTGGAATATTTTATGACGGCCCAAGACTTGAACCAAAGACAGGCTCGCTACACAGTGTACTTGTCAAGGTTTGATTATAAATTAATTCATAAGCCTAGAAGCTCTATAGGGAAAGCGGACACTTTGTCCAGAAGAGAGGATCATGCCAACGGTATCGAAGATGACAACAAAGGTGTTACCCTGATAGACCAATCAAGGGTTGCCAATGTTGGAATCGGGCAGGATTCCGATCTTCTGGAAGTTTTCAAGAAAGACATCTCCTCAGAAAAGAAGGCGCGCCTTGACAGCAATGAAAACTATTTATGGGAAGACGGGCTCTTTCATTTTAAAAACAAATCTATGTGCCTGAGTCCGCAAGGATCAAGGCAATAGATAGACATCACGACACTCCAGTGGCTGGGCACCCTGGGTGGCAACGAACAATGGAGTTGATCTCCAGAAACTATATGTGGCCTGGCATGGTCAAAGACATACAGGAATACGTAAAATCCTGTCTGAGATGCGCCATGGCTAAAAATTCTCATCAACCGCCGGCCGGTAAACTTATGCCAAATCCAATACCAGCTGGTCCCTGGCAGGATATATCGGTTGATTTCACAACGGATCTGCCCGAGTCAAATAGGTATGATTCAGTAATGGTGGTAGTAGATCACTTCTCCAAAGAAGTGGTATTTATACCCACCAACAAAACCATTACTGCTGCTGGTACGGCAGATTTATTTAAAGGTTTCATATGGTCCATCCATGGATTACCAAAGACGGTTATTTCCGATAGAGGGCCACAATTCGCTAGCGAATTTACAAAAGAATTATGCCGGATGCTGGGCATCAAACCTAAATTATCAACGGTGTTCCATTCGCAGACTGATGGACAAACGGAGAGACTCAACCAGGAGTTGAAACAATACCTCCGTATATTTATTAATGACAGGCAGACAGATTGGGCCAAGTGGCTAAAGATAGCCCAGTTCTCATACAATATCAAACAGTCGTCGGCTACAGGAAAGGCACCATTTGAGGTTACTAGATCGTACCTCCCCAGAATGGGTGTAGAACCTAGCAAAAGCAAGAACGAGGCTGCTGGGAACATGGCCAAAGACATGAAGTTTGTCTTAGACAAAACACGCAAGGCGCTATTCAAAACTGCAGAGCAGATGAAAGACAGGGCAGAGCATAGACGCTCTAAGGCCCCTGACTACAAGGTCGGCAACCTGGTTTGGTTAGATACCGACCACTTAAAGTTAAAAGATTGGCAGTCTAGAAAACTGACCAAAAAATGGATTGGCCCTTACCGGATTAAGGAAGTCAAACCCAACGCAGTGGAGCTGGAACTCCCAAAACAAATGAGGGTAGTACCCACGGTCAATATTAGCCGTGTGAAACCCTACAGAGGGCCGCTGCCGGGACAGCGTGTAGACCAGCCCGGACCGGTTGTAGTCACCCAGGAAGGTGAAGAAGAGTTTGAAGTTGAACGGGTGGTGGATGCACGCTTGAAGCATGGCAAATTAGAGTTCCTAGTCCTATGGAAAGGCTATGGAGACGAGGACAGAACGTGGGAACCAGAAGCCCACCTGGATAACTCCCGTGACGCTGTTCGCAAATTTTATTCTAAGAATCCCTCAGCTCCTAGGAAGCTTAGAGGCATGGATTCAAAACTTTTGTAATTCTCTTTTTCAAACTATGCCCGAAAATTTAACTACCACCGCCGGTATTTGGTCTCGCCTCGAAGTCGAGCCTTAGAAGGGGGGTAGTGTTACGATAACACAATTTTCGGACCTTTCCTCCATTTTCATTCTCCGTTTTAACCTTGTATACTTTAGCTTTCACACATGGTGCCACGCGGCACTTCCCCTTTTGTTCAAACTCCTCTTTCTTGTGCCGCATTGCTTTCTTCTTATTTTTAGATACAACTCTCTCACACAGTGGAGCTGGTCATGCGGGCTAGGCCCCATGACATCATCAGCCACTGACTTTATCAACTGTACAGTACATAAGTACAAACATTCTGTATTAGTATATATACCCCAATATGTGAGGCAACGATAAACTATAACAAAAACAAAACCTGTCTCCTTCTGCACTTGCAGGGAGTAAAGGGTTCGATGAGCTTGAGGTTGACAGATGCTAGTATGTATAGCAAGTAGAGGACTTTGAGAGGTAAGCTTCAAAGGTTTTCGTTGAGGAGTAAAGCGGGTAAATTCAGTAATAGAAAACTAAGGAGCCATACATGAATAGGTAAGGCTTTATATAGTGAACTGTTTGTTCCTCAGACCGAAAGGAGAATATATGAAAAGTGGTCTGAGGAATCAATCGACCAATAAGAAAAAGGGAGAGTAACTATTGTACGACTTTTAACTTGATTAATCAGCAGGTGAGAGACTTGTACTAATAATAGAGGATTGTCACGTGTGTTCAGGAACCGTATCCTCATAATGAGGTACGATCCTGAATAAGGCGTTATTAGTATAACCAGGCTTTACTGAGGCTTGGAGCTGGTTGGCGAGATGCCTACTACCAGTCCTTACTCCGTGTGCTGGCTGGCTGGGAGCAATACCCAGTCTCTGATCTGTGATATAAAATGGTAGCAATGGTTAAGAAAGCCTGTGAGGGCTATGAGAAGTAAAACGGCAAAGGATACCTCTAGCCCTAGAGCCAGAGGTGTAACGGGAAAAGCGTTCGAGAACCAAGACATAGCGAAGATAAGAAAATAATGAAATGGTCCTTACACAATAGATCAAGGAGACTCCTCAGCGAGTCCTCCTGTTGTATACCAACAAACTCTCTGCAGCTTAAGGGGTAACCACTCCCTCATCATCACTACCTTTATAGTGTGTTCTTGTGTGCGCCAGAGTAACTAACTCTTGGTTGTAACAGCTATAGAAACGACTTAGGTATTTCTATACTAAGCCCCCTACTACTTATAGTCGGAGGTGCTACTCGCTATAGTATAATGACTCCTAGGAGTACAATGGTGACTCCATGGAGTGGTGGCTGTGCTCCATGGAGAACAATGGCTGCTTCGGCAGAGACCGGGTTTATCCGGTTTTGTCATGTACTACCTCAGACTCTTCTATGAGATCTGAGGTGAGACTCACTTATTTCCCCCCTTTTGAATACCTATCTGATCCCTAGTATAGACATCTTATCTTATTAGGTACTTACTTTGAATATAGCTCAGACTCTTCTACAAGACCTAAGACACCTTATTGTATTAAATCAAACCCAAACAACTTGGTATACTATGGTGTGGTGTTTTATTTTCTTATATGGTTTGTAGGGATAGCATGCTCAGAATGTCAGTACTGTTGCCACTTTTGCATGCATTTTATTATCTAAGACTTTGCAGCGGGCCGTACCACCCTTTTGGTGGTAGGCTGTACACGTCTATTCCGCTGGAAATTTGTCTGGTATCTGATAAATAATAAGAGGGCATGGCTTGGTACGTGTCGGGTTGGATCTAGGAGAGCATGTAACGAGAGGGGAGGTTGTTAGCCCCCATCACAATCACAATGCGAAGAGAGGAAAGTGTTGGGGGAGGACTTACCGTGGATGTGCATCCAGCCGATTTGGAGCTGCAAGGCTTCGTTGATCTGGATGTTGTCTGCTCCCTCCCGCAAGCCGGTCTGGATAGCCCGATGGAGCACCGCGCGGAATTTTGCTGTGATATTTGTGGGGCATGAAAAAAAGTGCATGGAAGTCGAGCAGAGATTAGAATGCAAGTCTAAGTCAGCCATATACAAAGCATGACAATATCCATTTTCCAGGGAGAAGTATTCCATTAGTCAGTCAATAGTCACAGAACTACGCCATCATGAGATAGCACACTAACTTATGGTGAATGGGTGATAACTTAGCTCGACAGCACTGTTTCAGGGAGATACATTAGCCCCCGATAAATCGCGCTGTCCACCCCTGCCATGATAAAGTGCTAAACAGTAAAGCGTCAGTAGAGAGCTTCTCAATTCCACGATGTGCTGGTTAAGGCTAAAACCTAGTACGTGCATCAAAGTTTTAGGGTGTGTGGAATTGATAGGTTGAACGAATCTTACCCCGTTCAAACTTGACTTCAAATCTGGAATGCTGTCGATACAGGCTATACGTTTATGCGAGGCTGCGCTGATGAATCAAGACGCGTCATGATCCCAGCTAGCGGCACAAGCACAGGTACACCAAGCTGACGTCTCGGTGTATTGCGACAATTGCTTTCGTCCATTGACAGCTGATATCGCTGACACTGGAATCAGATATTTCCATGCGCAATGAACGGTAGGGGAGTAACCGAAGTGAAATACACGTTGCTTGGGCCCTAAGGAGATGACCACGAACCGTCATCAGTGATAGTGTCCATCATGATAATGAGAATCTTCCCCTGATTTGGAAGGAGAGATACTTACGATTGTGACTCATGCGATGTGAGGGTGAAGGGCAAAATAAAAATATTCCCTACAGTTACCGTGATTTGACACGTCCGAGTCATACCTTCCCGCAGACCCCTGACTGGCTACGATGCTATTTGTTCACTGAGGGCCTCTGTAAACGAATCAGTGTTCTATGACTATAAGTTGATGTAATGAATGCTCGACTATTTCAGTCCATCGAGTTGATTGAGATGTCTGATGATGGTGACGTTATACGAGGGATTTGCTCTGATATGTATACCAGGCCACTTGTTCAAAAGCTGTGTGCCGCTCCATTGATTTACAGGTGACCGGTGAAAAGTTCAAGGTTATTTTTTTGGTAGCACGACCCAAGCACTACTCGGTTGATAATTTATCTTCTGGGTTTGAAGTGCACTGGCCATTGAAAGCGAGTATTCAGACTGTCATTCAAGCATGGACCCCAGGAGAATGATTGGTGTAGGGTGTACTGGATTACTTGCACCGAGTCCGAACAGGATGTTCAAGTTGCCCATATGTAGACATCGTGAACATTCTCACGGCAATTTACTGGACGTTTATGGGTGCTTATGGGCGCTTATGTACGAGACATGTGTAGTACACGAGCTTGTTAGAAGTTTGATTTGATAGACTGTCATATCATAGCATTGCCAGCGCCATTGAAGACGGTCAGACCCTCTGGAACTTGAAACACCCTCAGCCCTTACAGCCCTCACCAGCTACAGATTAAAGATGGGTTCAGGTCGTTTTTCTCTTATTCTCCATAACATCTACTCGACTCTTTTTCGACCACCAATGTCTCGTCCAAAAGACATCGTAGGCCTATTCCAGCCCGGACTTTTTGGGCCAGTGGGACCTGAGTCATGGGGATCCATTCTTCTCCTGGTCGACGAAACTTCACGATGCTACATCGACCGTATTGTGTTCTGTAAATGCAAAAAAGACAAGAAACATGAGTTCTTGTTGATTCACGTTCGTCGTCACACCATCACAGGCGCTCAAAAAGCGTTTATAGTCGTCGACCGCGCACCTCGCGCACCGGAAGGCAACAATGCATCTGTTCAGTCACCACCTGCCTCGGGCATTGCATCTCCTTCGGTTTCTGATACTACTGCCGATGACCGCGTATCTACCTGTATGGAGAATGATAAAGAATTTGGAAATCTCACTGCAAAGTATAAACCATACGCGACACTTTGCGAACTCGACTTTCTTCCCTCCGTTGAAAATCATTTACCACCTTCCGTTCGGCAACTATCCGTCCTTTTGACAGTTGTCAACCATCACGCTCCCCTCTACAATCTTTATGAGCACCAGTGCTACTGGTTTGCCAATACTGTGTTCGACATGTTGAAGAAACTATTTCCAAATGCAGAGGAGAAGTGTACTTCACACGACATACGCGGCAACTATCACGGGTTGAAATTCGACCATCGTAACAGTATAGAGACGATAACTGAAGAATATGACAGGTCATGGATCGAGGCGTGTAACAGGGTGAGGGAGGAACGGATAAAACAAGAAGAAACTCGACGTAAAGTAAGTAAAATCTTGCTGCTGTTTTTTGCTGTCTATTAATCATTTTTTTAACTTGTCAAAAGCATGTTGAAGATGGGATGAAGATAGGTGAAGAACGCGGGATAAAGATAGGTGAAGAACACGGTCGTGCGGAACGAGAGCAACTCAAGGCTGAAATGGAACAACAGAAGGCTGAAAGTGCCCGACGCGAGGCTGAAAAACAGGCTGAATTGGACCAACTCAAAGCGAGAATGCATGAAGACGAAAACCGTCAGTCTGACAACGCGGCAGTCGCAGCCTGAAGAAGAGATGGAAAGTTTGTTCGTGAGTCCATTTGAGCATTACTACTTTCAAAACTAACAAGGATCTGTATGACAGTCCTAGCCAGGACGACAGCAAAGCTGTCAAACATGCAATATCTTTCCTATTATCTATTTTCACGGAGCAGAGCGTCTATTACTCGTCATCCATGTCTATGTATATTCTAGTACACTGTTTCAGGGGTAAGTACCATGCCGGGCGTCTACTGTAGTTATTTCATCGTGACGGTTCGGCGGTTCCAAAGCGGATAGTTTGGTGCGATAGTGCCACTGTACTCAGACTCTCATGCTGCTATGTTGTAACGATCCCCAGATAGTTGCCAAATGATTATGGAGAATGTCGCTGCGAATGATGATGAAGAAGTCTATAAGCATGATTCCGACAGCCTCACCGTGGTCCGCAATAACCGTTTCCCGAGTCCTGTGGAAGATCTTGCGACTCTTTTCTTCCATCCTCGTGAGCATCGTAGGCTTTGCTGCCAAAAATTCCATGGAATATATCGTAAATGCATTCTATGACAAGGCCCATATGATGCCTTGTGATCTCCATCCGAACATACACCATGATCATCCAGCACTTGTGATCTCTTTTTACCTGCCAGCTATATAAATGGAGGTGGAAGGAGCGGCAGCGTTCTCGAGGGTCTCTCATCTGCTCTCTTCTGAAATGCTCAACGTCGCCCTTTTTCTTCTGGGCTTGGTGTTCAGCAGCGACGTGCTCGCGTCCTCTTCTTCGTCCGGATCAGCGCCCAACATTGTCGATGTCGGCTATGCGAGCTATCTGGGAAACCAGTCGTATCCCAACACGGTAGCCTACCTGGGCATTCCCTATGCCGAGCCTCCCCTGGCCGAATTACGATGGCGCGCACCGCTGCCTCTGAACACGACTCGCATCTCCCAAGAATCAAACAGACAGGTCATCAATGCCACCACGTACCCCATGTTCTGTGTCCAAGGTTCCATCGGAGGTATGTCCTGACGCGCCGCGTTCCCGTGTGTGTGGTTCTTGACCGGTGGCAGGTGGGGATCACGGAGGAGCTGGCTCGGAAGATTGTCTCAAAGTGAATATCTACGCACCTGCTGGAGCGAAGGAAGGAGATAACCGTGCGTGCGTCCTTGCCGTTCGCTTTGTCTCCGATGCTTAATCCAGAGGGCATACCGTAGTGCCTGTCCTGCTTTATATACATGGTGGAGGTACGTTGTATTGCTCGCATCGATGAGGCAGGTTTAATGATGTATACATTGAACTAAGGCTACGTCTACGGAAACCCACGCAATTGGCCATTTGACCCCTGGATCAACCAGAGTCCAAACATTGTCATCGTGTCCGTCTACTACCGCCTCGACTCCTTCGGCTTCCTGTCCCACCCCGACTTTGTGGACGCCTCCATAGGCGACTTCAACGGCCAGAGTGCTGGAGGGAGTTCTGTGGAACTGCACATGGTGGCTCATGAAGACGAAGGATTGTTCTCTGGTGCCATCGCACAGTGCGTGTTTAGGGGACCCGTGTCCACCCCCAAAGAACAACTGGTAAGCTGACAGCGCTCTTCCAAAAACAGTACACAGGAATCCTCATTGAGCATGCAAATATTAGCCCCTTTTTGATTTCTATTCCTCCTATGCAGGCTGTGGGGACGGGACAACCGCAGCGCAGATGACCTGTTTGAGGAATGTGAGCCGAGAGAGTCATAGATACTCTTGCACATATGGGCATATCAACATCTATGAATGCAATTCACACCACTATTTGATTGCTATCAATGGAGTCTCATCAAGCCCTTCAAGATCTTGGCCAAACCCTTTTTGCATCGTACACATATGACAATTTTGACGTCGATCTCAAAACCAGAGCTTCCACTAGTGAACTTTCTACAGACAGTCTGAAGCACCTCACGTCTGGCCTGTTATTTCCGCTGCAACATGGGGTTTCTCAGGTCGACCTCAAGTGCTCACATGCCCTTTGGAAATAGTGGCACATTAACCCACAGCTTCGTACCAAAGACCTTCCACCCAAGAAAACATTCAAAGATTTACTAACCCTCCATTCACAACCAACAGACATAGCTGGACTTAGCCCACGACAACAGTTCATCGCATGGAAGTTCCTGAGCGACCTCTTGTACTTCGGAGCATTGTATTTTTCAGGTTTCAAATCTCAGCTTGAAGAGCCTTCTGTTATAGAACAAATTCCTCTCATCAAAACACCTGTCATTGCTGCCCGAGTAATGGATGTGAATAACTCAACTGATGGTGTGCTCTCATATCTCAGTGGTGGAGGATTCGGCCAGGGCTGTCCTGTCGACAGAAAGGGACACTATAAGTACAACAAACAATATAAATACAATCAACCTTTCACATTTGCAAGTCACACCACAATTAATGAAGATGGCAGTGATAAGGACTCAGAGGATGTTCATCATGATGCTGGGAAACATGAGGTGAGGGATTGGAATATAGTGAAAACATTCAAAGCTTACTTTTTCTTGCCAGCATCAGTAAAGTGTCACTTTTCTTTTGAAGATCTTGACTCACTTGAAACTGTTTTAAGAGGAATTAAAGGCATTTAAGACTGGTT